GGCTCTCTATCCACTGCACCACCTAGCCACCCCAGTCTCTGTTTCTTTTTCAGTCTCTTCTCTGCCTCTTTGTTATTCTCTTTCTGTCTCTGCCTATCTCTTTGTGAGGCCACCGATAGCTATCCATTATTCTTGGAAACTCTCTCCATTCACTTCTGAGTCTTTGAATTCCTGTCTTCCTTCAAGGCCCCCCTGGAGTGTCACCTTCTATGGGAAGCCTTTCCTGATTTCCCCAGTTGTTAGTGTTTCCCTTCCTCCAGAAATTACTTTATATTTTGTATTTAGTTTGTGTTTTGTATTTACTTATCTGTATACATGCTGTCAACTTGTCCCTCAGTGGAATACTGCTCCTTGAAAAGCTGTTTCTTTTTTTGTCTGTGTACCCTGTTGTTTAGCATAGCACCTGACCTTTCGTAGGCACTTAATACATCTTTGTTGAATTAAATTGATTTGTTTCTTTTTAATCTCTCTTTTAAAATCATCCTCGATATCTTTTTTTCATCACCTTCATTTCTCAGTATATCTCTCCCACTTCTCTACCCAACAATAACAAAGAATTAAAAAGAAAAGAAAAAAACCAGTTCAGTAAAACTAATACCATACCAATCAAGTCTGACAATGTATGCTATGTTACATCTCCATAGTTTCTCATCTCTGCAGAGAAGAGAGGGAGATGGATTTGAAAAAAAAATGTTATTTTCAGTTCCAAATTGTCTCCCTCCCTTCATTTACTCCCCTACCCATTGATAAGGCAAGAAATAGGCTACCTATTATAATACAAAGCCATACAAAACATATTTCCACATTAGCCATGTTGTGGGGGGGGGGGAAAGGAAGAAAAATAAAAAAAGTGAAAAAAGTATGTTTCAAGCTACACTCAGAGTTCGTCAGTTCTCTGGAGGTGGAAAGCATTTTTCATCATGGGTCGCTTGGAATTGTCTTGGATTATTGTCTCGATCAGAGTAGCTAAGTCTTTCACAGTTGGTCATTGTTACAATGTTGCTATTACTGTGTACAATGCCCTCCTGGTTCTGCTCACTCCACTTTGCGTCAGCTCATAGAAGTCTTCCCAAAAGGGAGGGAGATGCATATCCATGTTGGTTATTTGAGACAAGCTCAGTAACTCTTATTACTCAGCACTGTGTTTCTATGCTTGCTGTTGTTTCCATTTACATTGTTTTAGTAATTGTGTATCGGTCTTTCACTTTGTGGTAGTACATATAGGTCTTTCCATGATTTCCAGTGTTCTTCACGTTCATCATTTCTTACTTTTGAGTACTGTATTATGTTTAGCCAGTCCCCAATTAATGGATATCTATCTTGTTTCCTTTTCCTTTCTATCATAAAAAAGTGCTAGTGTAAATATTTTGGTATATATGAGACCTTTCTTTTTATCCTTGACCTCGCTGGCATGTCTGGGTCAAAAGGTATGGACATGGACGTGAGATATTTTACTCATTTAATTAGCATAATTCCACATTTCTTTCCCCAGAATTACTGGATCAATTTATATCTGCACTAACAACAGCATATTAGTGTTTCTGTCTTCCCCAAACTCTCCTGATATTGACCATTCCCATCTTTTGTTATCTCTTCTAACTTGCTAGGCATGAGGTGACACCTTGGGGTTTTAAATTTTTTTCTCTTCGGAGCAATCTTTCATGTGGTTGTTACTTACTTGCAATTCATGTTTTGATAATTGTTTGTTCCTCTCCTTTGACCACTCATCCATGAAGGAATGGTTTTTTTGTCTTATATATAGAGCGTCCTAAAATTTTTGTTGAAATCATAAGCTTTTAACAATAGAAAATTACACTAGGACTTTTGGTACACCCTGTATTTGTGTTAATTTCCCATATTTCTTGAAGATCAAACCCATATCAAAGATTATGTCTCTCTTTAATTCTCTGTGTATATCTCCTTGCCAATCTCTCTTTCTCTTTATTTCCTTCTCTCTGTCTTTTTCTCAATACATAGACTTATGCACAGTTAGAGTGAGCCTTTGCAGGGTGATGGGCATAGAGGAAGGGCGTATCAGAGACATGGAGCTGTTGTTTTGCCCGTTCAGTGGATCACAGCTGCGTTTGGTCTTTGCACAGAGAGCCTCATGCAGCTTCTGCAAATAAAAGTCCTTTTTGTGCTGTTGGGGTTAGCATCTTATCAGCTGGATGCTGCTGAGCCTAGAGCCTGTGGCCTAGCCTAGCACCTTGTGTCTTTTCTGCTTATCAGCCCTGTCCATAGCCATGCCTGGGTCTCTGTGGGATGGATGCCCTTGGTGGGCATTCTTTATCTTTTGTGTCCTTGGGCACTTTAATGTGCTCCTTGGTGACTCCTCAGTACCCACAGGCTTTTCTTGTATACTCACAACAATAATCAACATATGTACATACCCATTCTATACACAGGCCCTTTTAGGCTCATTCTACATCCCCTTTTTACTGGGTTCGATAACAAAATAAGGGTTTAACTCTCTCTTTTAGGTTTCATAGCTCAGGCCACTAGGTGGCGTAGTAGTTTGAACACTGGGTCCAGAGTCAGGAAGAGCTGAGTTCAAACAATGATCCTGGGGAAAGTCACAATTAACCTCTAACTCAGTTTTCTCAACTGTAAAATGAGGATAATAATAGCACTCAACTCATTGGGTTGTTGTGAGGATCCAATGAGGTAGATAATATCTGTAAAGAGTGGACACCTAGTAAATGCTTGTTCCCTTCCTTTCTCTCCCCTTCATATCAGTAGAGCTGGGGAAGGACCTTATGGGTCATCTGTGGGAGGTTGACTAGGAGTCACGAGAAACCTAGATTTAAATCCCCAGTGAAAGCACTTTCCCAGGTGTCTGACTGTGGGCAAGTCACTTAAACTCTGTTCCTCAGCTTCCCCCTTTGGAAAATTACAGATATTGATAAGATCTGTAGTACCTTACAGCTTTCTTGTGGGTATCAAAGGAGATAATGTGTGTAATCTGTTACACGTCAGCTATCATCATCTGGTCCCGTTCTTTCATTCTATAGGAGAGTCAGGTCCAGTTACTGAAAGATGACCCAGGGAAGCAGAGCTGAGATTTGAATGCAGGTTTACTGACTCCAAATTTGAGTGAATACATAACATGCTGCTACCTCTCGCTTTCTGATTCATTAGCGTTAATTAAGCACTTTAATTAATTAGTATTAGTTAAGCAACTCGCTGTTGGGAAGAGACCAAATTTTGCTAAGACTTGGTCCCTGCCCTCTGAGCTGTGCCTAGTAAGGTAGTTGAGAGACACACACAGATAACTTTAATACCCAATAGTACATGGTAAGTGCATTCAAGAGATACAAAGTACTATGTGAAAGCAGCACACTTGTTACGGTGTTGAAGAATTTACCCAGAACTCTGTAATTTCTCCTTAATCAAGGCATATCTTTCTTTTCTTTTTTTTTCTTTTTTTCTTTTTTATTTGTTTAGGCAGTTGGGTTAAGTGACGTGCCAGGGTCACACAGCTAGTAAGTGTCAAGTGTTTGGTCTGAGGCCACATTTGAACTTAGGTCCTCCTGACTTCAGGGCCGGTGGTCTATCCACTGCACCACCTAGCTGCCCCTTATATCTTTATTTCTTACAGCTGTTAAGGGAAGCAGCTTTTCCCCAGACTGCAGCAGGCTGAATATATCTTTTCCTTTGAAGAAACAAAAAAATGTCAAATGAGAAAAGTACCAAATAGGCAAGATAAATGAAGTTATACAAAGTTTGGAGGTTAATGGAGATATACGAAGTAGATCAGGTAAATGGAGGTATGCAAAGTAGAACCAGTGATTCTCAGCAGCTGTGTGGAAGTTTTAAAATATTTGGAGAAAAGGGTAAGATATTAGTAGATAGTTGATTGTAAAAATTTATACAAACCTTTTCATAGTTTGGCCTGAAGGCTGTTAGGTGTCCTACAGTCATTCAGCATAGGAGTATCTAGTCTACCCATCTTTGCAGTAATACCAAGTTTTCAGAAGCACAGCAAAATAGTAGACCTAGAGTCCTGATTTGCTGATTCCATTCTAGGCTGTAAATTCAATGAGGGTAGAAACTATGTCTTATTTAAACTTTGTTCTCCCCCATCAGAAGGCACACAGCAGATACTTAATAAATATATGTTTTTGAAGTGAATTCTTGCAGTGATTTGCTCAATCCATTAATATACAATTAATTACAATTATTGGTAAGTCAAGTGTCAGTTTATAGTATCTCACATGTTTGGGCAGTGGTAAAGAAAGAATCCAACTACATAGGGTGCCTTAAGGGCAACCAGGAAAGATAAGACCTGGAAAGTTATGTTGGATCCTGATTGTGGCTGATCTTTTAATTCCTGGCTATGGGGTTTGTATTTTATCAGGTAGCATTAGGGACCCAGTGAAAGTTCTTAAGCAGAGAAATGAAAAGGTCATCTTTATTTCTTGAGATGATGATTCAGGCAGTATGTGAAGAATGGATTTGGAAAATGGTAAGAGACTGGAGGCAAGGACACAGTCTAGGTATGTGATGATGAGAACCTGACATGGAGTAGTGGCAATGGGAACAGAAAGGAGGGGGCTGGAGTGACACTGTGGAAGAAGTCACAAGGTTAGTGATTGGCTGTAAGTAGAAAGGAGAGGGAAGAGTCGAAGAGAATTGCAGGGTTCTAAGCCTGGGCGACTGGAAGAATGGTGCCGATAACCCCAATGGAGATGCTGGGAGGGTGAATGTATTTTGAGGGAAAGATGACTTCAATTTTGGACAGTTGTGAGGCGGTGGGTGGAATAGATGGAATTAAGTCAGAGATAATAGGAAATGAACAACTAGAGCTTGGGGAACATCAAGACCTGAGATAAGAGGTTTTGAGGAGTGAGCCTCACTGCTGCTGAGTGTCATGGGTTCTCCATACTTCCATTTTTCACATGTGCACTATAGAAATGGGGCGTTGAAATTTGTTTATGGGTTGGTAGCAATAATTTTTTTTCTTTCTCTCATGTTATTTATTTTTCTCTTGTTTCTTGTAGGATATCTGTGAGAACCCTCGCCTCTTTGTGGATGGCATCAGTTCTCATGACTTGCACCAGGGCCAGGTGGGAAACTGTTGGTTTGTGGCTGCCTGCTCAGCTCTGGCTTCGAGGGATTCCTTGTGGCAGAAGGTAAGGTGGTCTGCTGAGAATGTGCCTGGGCTCGTTTCCTGAAGAAGTCTTAGCATGCAGCTAAGCTGTGGAGATAGATAGATAGACAGACAGACAGACAGATAGATAGAGGAAGGGGGAAGGGAATTATCATTTATTTAACACCTATTGTGTGCCAGGCACTGTACTAAGTGCTTTACAAATTTACAATATTATCTCATTTGAACCTTACAATAACTCTGTGAGGTAGGTGCTGTTATTATGCGATTTTACAGTTGAAGAAACTGAAAGAAGTTGAGTGACTTGCCCAGAGTCATCCTGCTAGGAAGTGTCTGAGGTCGGATTTGAACTCAGGTCTTCCTGAGTCCAGGCCCAGTACTCTGTCCACTACACCACCAGATGGATAGCTACACCTTAGCTTAGAAAGGCCAAGGTCTCCCACTGCATCCTGGGCCATCTCCAGTCATCCTGATGAATACCTGGCCACTGGACCCAGATGGCTCTGGAGGCGAAAGTAAGGCTGGTGACTGCACAGCCCTCCCTTATTCAAATCCAATTCATTTGCAAGTCATGTCATCTTCTTCCTGTTGTCATGGCCCTCTTTGAGAATGAAGGACAAATCACAACCACACACACAAGATGGATAGATAGCTAGATGATGGCTAGATAGAAGGATGGATGGATGGACAGATAATTTATTGAGCTGTTACTATTGGTCCAAGTGTTGGGGGGGGGTGATACAAAAACAAGGAAACAAAATAGTCCGCACTCTCAAAGAACTTACATACTAATAAAGGAAGACAAAACAAAAAGGAAGGCAAGGGAGTAGTTGGAGGGGAGGAAGGTACCCACGAGGGAAAAAGATAGCTGGTGTGGAGGCAGAGCAGATCAACGAATGAGCAGGGAGTGAGGAGCGCAATAAATCTTTTTTTATATATAATTTTTTATTAATTTATTTTAATTTATCAACAATCACTTCCATAAGCTTTTGAGTTTAAAATTTTTCTCCCCCTCCATCCCTGCCTTCCTCCCCAAGATGGTGCACAGTCTGATATAGGCTATACATATACATTTCCTATTAAACATATTTTCACATTAGTGATGTTGTACGGAAGAATTAGAACCAATAGGAGGAAACACCAGAAAGAGGAAACAAAACACAACAGAAGAAAAAAATAGCAAATAGTGTGCTTCGACCTGCATTCAAACTCCATAGTTCTTTCTTTGGATGTGGATAGCATTTTCCATCATGAGACCTTTGGAGATGTCTTAGATCCTTGTATTGCTGAGAAGGGTTAAGTCTATCAATATCAGTCATCACACAACGTGGCTGTTAACTGTGTACAACATTCTACTGTTTCTGCTCACTTCACTCAGCATCAGACCATATGAGTCTTTCCAGGTTTTTCTGAAGTCTGCCTGTTCATCATTTCTTATAGCACAATAGTATTCCATTACATTCATATACCACAACTTGCTCAGCCACTCCCCAATTGATGGGCATCCTCCCGATTTCCAATTCTTTGCCACCACAAAAAGAACTACTATGAATATTTTTGTTCATGTGGGTCCTTTTCCCATATGTATGATCTCTTTGGAATACAGCCCTAGAAGTGCTATCAGCTCAATAAATCTTGCCTGGGCCTGACCTTCAATGCAGAATGAGTGAATGCAGAGTTTGGATGTGGTGAGATATTTGGGAGACAGCTTTGTACAGGGAAAGAAAGCTTGCTGAATTTGGACTCAGAGGTTCTAATCCTGGCTCTTTTGCCAGGGCAAGTCTCTTAACCTTTCTGGGCCAGACTTAAGAGGATAAAATAAGATCATGTTTGTAAAGCAATAGAAATGCTAGCTAAGTAGTTAGTATGGAAATGTTATAAGGAAAGGCAGCTCCATAGAGTCGACATTGGAATCAGTCGGTCAATAAGCATTATTAAATGCCTGCTGTGTGCCAGGTGTTGGGGATACAAAAAATGGCAAATGACAGTCCGTCCCTGCCCTCAGGGAGCTTACAATCTAATGGGAATGACAATAAGCAAACAATTATGTACAAACAAGTTATATTACAAGTTAACTAGGAAATAACCTTTTAAGACTTGACCATGGCATGTCCTAGCTATGGAACCCAAGGCTTATTTTTTCTGCACCCCAGTTTCACCCTCCATAAAACAGAGTTAATAATACTTGCGATTGAGAGCTATGATGGTGTAGTTAATACTCAGGTTCAAGTCCTGTCCCCAGCATATACTGACTCTGTGATCCTGGACAACTTGTTTGACCTTTTTTCTAAACCTCAGTTGCCTCCCCTGTAGGACAAGGAGAGAAATAGTCATATTAGGTGCCTTAGGGTTATTGTAAGCAAAGTGCTACAGAGACGTGAGCTGCTGTTATTATTCAAAACAAAGGAAAGCTGGGATTTCACTTGTGTTGTGTGTTGAAACTACAGGGTGGCACTAATCATTGTCACAGATTTTAGACTTTAGAGACCATGTAGCCCAAGCTTCCTATTTTACAGATGAGGAATCTGAGATGTCGAAAGGTGAAGTGATGAAACTTCATTAATATTATAATAATTGCAATATGGAGAAAAAAGTAGAGATTCAGAATGACAGGGGCCTATTGTCCCTCAGGGATAAGTGGATTTTAGCATGTTTCTGGAAAATGGCACAGGCTCATAAAGTCCAAGAGGGCGTGGATTTCAGATAGAACTGTCCTGCTCACACACGTACCTATTTCAAGGTGCTGTGAGCTTGAGCTTATCTAGAACCTCATTTACCAAGGAGAAAGATAGATTAAGGGAGGAGTGTCTATGGAAACTTAGGAACATATTGGTCATTATGTGAGCATTTTCAAAAATCATAGAGGTGGAGAGTGACTATTCCAAACATTTGGAGTTCTTTCCTTTGATTCAGTCCATTGTTGCCAAGGAAATGTGCTATCATGACAAGAGCCCTGAATTTGGAGTTGGAGGACTTTGTTTTAAATCTCTGCTGTGGTACTTACTACCTTGTGTGATTTTGTGCAAAGGACTTAAAATCTCTGGACCTCAGTGTTCTTCATCTGTAAAATGGGGTGGGATCGATGAAATGATCTCTGAGGTCGCAATCCACCACCATCCTAAGTTAACAAACATTTATGTGTTTGCTATGTGCAGAGCACTGTTTCCTTACTGTGCCTTCAAAGACTGAAAGATGGGGAAATGTTTGCCTTTTGAATGAAAAAAGATAATCCAGGTTTCATGTTGGGAAACAGAGATAACTTAGGGGACTTTTTTCCCTCTTTTGTTTCTTATGGCCTCTTTTTTTTGTTTTCCTTCCTATTTTGTTTTCTTCTGGCCTCTGTTCCCAGAAGAGTTGTGGAAAGGGGGTTCCCCCAGAAAAGAGACCTGAAACCTTTGGGTGCCTGCTTTAGTGCTCATACGCAAGCAGAAAAGTGACAAGATTCCATAAGGGAATAATACTATAACAAGAAACTGAGAAACTAGCAGAGCATTTTGACTCTTAACAGAGAGAGATCACTCAAAGTTCATCCACCACCTGTTGAAGCTGCCAGAGCACCATGTCTGCTCCCTAAGAAGGCTGCTTTAAGATTGTCAGAATGAGTCGCAGGGAGCATTCAACTTTAGATTGGTGAGAAACAAGATGAAAGTAAATGGTGATTGATTACAGTGAAGGAATAGTGAGGACGTACCTATTTGTTCCCAGGTGTTCATATTTCCTTTAATTTTCCCCTATAATTATGTACCAGTGTAGTAAATTATAGTAATTAGTTGTACTGGTTAATATTTAGGTTCAGGCTGTTAGCAAAAGAAAGATAAGCCAGTAGTAAAACACGTACAGCTCTTCCTCTTACCAGCCTGGCCATTCACCTGGTGGTACCATCGTCCACTTGGTGGCAGTATAGTTCAGTCAAAAGCAAAGTACCTAATAAGAAGTAAACAACCTGTTGAAACGTGGCTTTACAAAGCCAAATTCAATTCAGTATTTTTTAAGCACCTACTATGTGCAGTCTACTCCCCCTAGCACTTTTAATGATGTGTATGTATAATGAGTATAGGCAATACAGTGCCTGTATTCAGGGAGCTTACAATTCAGTAGAAGATACACACACACACACACACACACACCCCCCCCTATAAGCTAGAATGTAATAGGTAACCTTTGTTAGGTTGTAGGGCAGGGAGGGATCACTAGGAGAATAGATAGGAGTTTATGAAGGAGCTAATACCTAATTGGACCTGAAAGGAAAAGGAGTTTAGTGGGTAGACCTGCCGATCAAGTGTCTATTGCAGGCGTGGGATTGGTACGAGTATAGAGGTACGGAGGAGAAAGAGGGCAGGACAAGCTCTAGTCCAATTTGAGTCATCCAGTAGTGAAAAGATACTAGGTCTTTTTGTTGTGAGATCTGAGTTCAACAAGTTTAAGTCTTAGTTCCAACTTTTAACTCAATAGATGACTGATCCTGCCCTGGGATTTTGGACTCCTTAAAACTCAAGTTTCCTTATTTGTAAAATGAGGTTAATGATACTTATACCACCACCCACCAAACGAGATGGTGAAGGTTCAATGGAAATGTGAGCATTGGTCAAGCAGAGGAGTGATATGCCAAAAAGTTGTATGTCGGGGAGATTAATCTGGTGGCAGTCAATAAGAGGCATTACATTTTCGAGTCTCAGAATTGAAGAAATTCATCATACCTGAATAGAAATTTACTTTATAGTATCTGATATGGTCATCCATTCTCCCTCTGAAGACTTCCAGCCATGGGAAATTCACTACCTCTCAGGGCTTCCCATTCTATTTTTTTAAAAAATTTCCTTTAAAAAAATTATGAATTTGACAGACGTGAACATTTCCTTATACAAGAAAAAAATATTTTAAAAAATTACATGAAATTATAAATCTTTTATATACTGCTTAGGATTTTTAAAAAGTATATATTAAATTTAATGTCAATACTTCTCCGTTTGTCCATGCACCCTTCTGAAATTCCTTGTGCTATCTTCTGTGTGTTTTTAAAAA